CACTATGAAGCCCTGGCTGGCCTGGAGCACACTACACAGACCAGGTTGTCCTTAAACTCACAGAGATCTACCTGTCTCTGTCTCCAAGTGCTGGGATTAAAGACAAGTGTCATCATGTCTGGCTATACAACACTTCCATTTCCAGATGCTGGGCAACCTATACAACAGATAGATGTCCTTAATCTGTGACAACACTTTCTTAGTTTTACCACTTATGTAAATATGAGCAGCACAAAATGACATGCTGCATGCAACACTCAGCAATTTTTTTTCATCATTGCTAAGACTGAGCCCCATTGTTCCATGGTTGCTACTGTTTATTCCTTTCACTGCTATAAATAAAACATTCCATTGCAGCCATGTACTCTACTTAATTTGTTTTCTTGCTGATGGAAACCTGGGATATGTCAGTGCTTTGCCATTAAGATGTTGGTTTTGTCTTTTTGCCTTATAAATAAAAGTCCTTTGTTGCAATGCAGTTTAGCTTAGTTGCTTTGTATTTCAGTTAGTACTTTTTGTGTCTTACTTAAGAAATACATCCCTGCCCAGATATCAAAAGGATGTCATCCTCTATGGAGTTCTAGAAGCCTTAAACTGTAGTTTAAGACCTTAGTGGGGGACTGTAGAAATGGCTCAGTAGTTCAGAACACTGGATGCTCTTCCAGAGGTCCTGAGTTCAATTCCCAGCAACCACGTGGGAATGAGATCTGGTGCCTTCTTCTGTCCTGCAGGCATACATGCAGACAGAGCTCTGTATACATAATAAATAGAAAGGAAGGAAGAAAAGAAAGGAAACCTTAGTGAACCTGGAATTGTGTTTCAGTCCATTGGAGGAAGAGTTAATGTTATTTTTTCCCACATAAACTAGTTCATGTTCTAGCACCAATTACTGGAGGCTTCTTTTTTAAATTTGCCACTGACTCTTAGTTTGATGAACATTTACTAGATGCTGACATTATACCAGGCCTGCCAGAGGTACAAAAGAGAACCCAGAATTTACCTGCTTTGTATAGTCTACATAGTGTATAGCAAGCACTCACCAATGGGTTTCTGATCTCCAGTTTCCCTACTTAGAATTAGGGCTGCCTCCCAGATTGATGTCAGAGTTAAATCAGACAGTTCTATATCTATATAGATGTAAAGCAGTGTTTTAAACCACGCATTAAGAGCAAGAGAATGCTGCAGTTGGCTCTATGTTAAACTATAATTTCTTTCACACATTTAGCTAACAAACTATTTATTTGGAGGTTTTGAAACACGTTGCAAATATTGATATTCCCCAGATGGAGATGCGACATCCTATATTTGGGCCCATCCCCAGGACTGATCATCTGTTTCCTTAGCTTTCTATTGTGACAAACCACCTGAGATAATCAGCTCATGATGATGGAAGGGCTATATTATCTCATGGTGTCTTCACATGGTCAGCTGGCTATATCACTCTTGGGGCCAGAGGGGAAGCAGTCATGGTGCAGAGTGCAAGGTCGATGGCTCCTCACAGTGGCTAGGAGGTGAACACAGAGGGCCATTTCCAGCAAGGACATGCCTTCAGTGACTTCACTTCTTTCCACCAGGCCTGATCTCCTAAAGGTTCCACCTCCCGTCAATTGCCAAAGGCTGGGACAAAGTACGAAACACACGGGACACTGGGAGACAGTCAAGGTCCAAAGTAACACCACCCAAAGCAGTATCATGACCTCTACGATGTAAATGGCTTGCTTCACTGTGGTTTGATGGATTATTTATGTTGGAGTGCTGAGTCCCTTACAAAGAAGCCTGTCACCCCAATGCCATCCAGTAAGAAATACTCTGCTAAACTTCAGAAAGAGACCACGTGATGTGTCCTGTATGATGGACCAAACTGTGTCTCATCAAATGCATTTGTGGCAGCTCTGACCCCCATGTGATTGTGTTGGGAGATAGGTTTTTGTGAGATAACTAAGTTAAATGAGGTCCAAAACTGTGATCTTAATTAATCTGAAAAGACTGGTGACCCTGTATTGGACAGAGATATATACAAAGAAAGAGCTGTGAGTTATAATTTCACACTTCTCCCATCTAAGTACTAATCTTGCTTAGGTTGAGAAATCGGATGAGTTCAGGTGTGGCCAGAGTAGTCTGTCTATGGACAATAATTTCACCTACCTTCCTTCCTTCTTTTCTTTTTTTTTGGGGGGGGATAGAGGGGAGGTTTGAGACAAGGTTTCTCTGAGTGGCCACAGCTGTCCTGCAACTCACTCTGTAGACCAGACTGGCCTTGAACTCACAGAGATCCACTCACCTCTGCCTCCCAAGTGCTGGGATTAAAGGTGTGCACCACCACAACCAGCAATTTCACATTTCACATTAAGAAATTTTATGTGACAAAAATGATAATATAACACCTAGTATGTGGTTACTTTTTGGACAACTAAGTATTATAAGACTACTTTCATTTTAGTAAAGCATGCCTGAAATCGCTGACTTTAAATTAATTTATATTTTCATTTCTGTAGCTGCTCAGTCTCATGTGTTACATTATGGCCATCCTATATCCTTTACATTTAGAACAGTTGTGCTGTGTCTAATTTTGTCCTTATCTATAAATGGAATGATAGTTATTATTTTTAAAGCACCCACCCTGGGGGAAAACTGACATTGATAATTGGAGCTTTTAAAAAATTCTGCCTATTTGTCCTGGAAGGTTTCTAAAGTAACTATACTGACCTAATGCAGTGAGTTTCAATGCAAAAACAAACACAACGGTTAGCCTTCATCACTCTTACAGCAGAAGACCCTCAAAATGTTCCCATAGCAATCACCAAGTACGAGTAACTACTCAGTTGGAAGGAGGTGACAACTATGGAACCAAAGCTGAAATATCTTAAAATTGTTTCAATAAGTCTAAATAAACCAGTCCCATTTGGGCAGTGGTGGCCTTTAAACCCAGTACTCGGGAGGCAGAGGCAAGAAGATCTCTGTGAGTTTGAGGCCAGCCTGGTCTACAAAGTGAGTTCCAGGACAGCCTGGATTGTCACACAGAGGGGGGAAAAAACAAACAAACAAAAAACCAAACAAACATACAAACAAACCCAGCCCAAATAAGCACACAAATTCCATGAATGCACTGGTGACTAACAGGTCAGCAGGAGTGCTAGTCTATGCTACAGGTGCCGTGTGTTCTCAGATTTAGAGGAGATGGTTCCCAACACAAAATGTAAAAGCAGGATAAGGAATCTGATGTGACAACCTTCCATACCTGGGTAAAACCTGAAAGAACCAGAGGAGGAAAGGTAAGAAAAACGTTACTCCAAATAAGAACCTACTTGTGATGGAGTCTGGGAGTGTATGTTAGCCATAGGGCGCATGCCTGGCAGGGAGGCCCAGGGTATGATCCCCAATGGTGCTGGGGGTGGGGTGGGGTGGAAGGTGGGGTTGTAGTGATTTAGATAGTGACGAGTATCATCAAATTACTTTCATTTATTATTTTTATAGTGACAAAGAACCATACTGATGATTATCAACTGGAGAGTGAAAAATGATTATTTGGCTTGAGAAACTAAACAGTGTACACACCTCACATGCTAAAGTCACAGTGGTATGTTCTGTCAGGAGTTGCAAATTGAACAGTAGTTAATAACAGAGAAAAACCTTATTTCCAATCTTGTCATAAAAAGAAAGTTTTTATACTTTTGATTTTTCGAAAAGATGCATGAAAAAAAATATGTGAAATTCCCAACAGAATGCTGGGAAATGTCAGGAAAAGTAAGAGTTTGAGAAAAGGCATGCTCACAACGCTAGGAGGCAAATGCCCATTAGTGATGAAATATCAAAGGCATTCCAGGAAAACTCACCTAGAACATTCACTATGTGGAATGTGAGTCCTGGAAATGTTAAGGAGACAGATAGAATGGCTTTGGCATATCAGCCGTATATTATCAGAACTGTTGTGGGATATCTGTACGCAGTGTGAAGATGTGTTGCTGTGACTGCCACAGCTAGGCAGGAGGCACAGGTGGGATTTCTGGGCAGAGAGAGGAACTAGGAGGAGATGACCGAGACATGGAGAAGAAACAAAAGGTGTAAAACGGGAGAGGTAAAACCATGTGGTAGAACGTAGATTAATCTAAGTGGGTTAATTTAAGTTCTAAGTGCTAGTTAGGAACAAGCTAAGCCAGGCCACGCTTTCACAATTACTGAGAAGTCTGTGTCATTATTTGGGAGCTGGCTGGTGGAACAGAAAAAGACTTGTTACACAACACTAAAGTCCAGACCACAAGAACCTCAGATAACAACCCAATTTCATTTGCATCTAATTGACTTGATCTAATATAAGCCTTGCAATAGTTTGAAAAGTGAAAGAAGTTTTTCCATTGAGCTACCAAGTTCATGAAGGTTTAAAAAAGCTAGATTCAGTCTTTAATTCTAAGTGAATGCAATTAAGAACTCAACATAAACCAAGCTGATATAAACAAACTCTAGGAAAATTCAAGTACTTTTTACTCTCAGTAAAAGGCTCTCACCTTTTTTTCTTTTAGTAGAGCACACACAGCTGCTCTATCATGAACTGCACCAGAGCCGTGCCACCCCCCTCACACCTACTCTACCATGAGTGACACCAGTCCCCAGGGCCCTACACACACGCACACACGCACGCACGCACGCACGCACGCGCGCGCACACACACACACACACACACACACACACACACACACACACACACACACACACACCTGCTCTACCACAGTAGGTACCCAGCCCTCAGGTTCTTACTTTTAAAAAATGTGTGTTCCTGTGTGTTGGTGCTGCTATACTACAGTTAGAAGAGGGTTTGGGTCTCTTGGAGCTAGAAGTATAGGCAGCTTGTGAGCCACTCAACACGGGTGCTAGAAACTAAGCGTGTCTCCTCTGCAAGAACAGCAAGCACTCTCACCTGAGCTTTCTCTGCAGCTCCAGGTTAGTCTTGTTACAGGGTTTGTGCATCTTCCTTTTCAAGAGATTTATTCTAATTTATTACTTACGTATAAATGAACAATTCTCTGAAATATGTCTTCTCTCATGCTCATCTCGATATCAAAACGAGAAAGCCTTTTGTCTGCCTCTGTGCTCGCAGCCCGCACTTCTCTGTCAGATGACACGTGCTGAGGGAAGTCCAGCATGGTCCTTTCCACTGTTGAGGCAAGGAAACACTGTGAACATGACAGGACCTGTCAAGTTGGTAGTAGGCCAAATATCTCTTTTTGAGATGAAGGGTTATGCTGAAGAAGTGCTTTTGTTTTGTGCTTTCGGCAAAGGCTCTCAAGACTATCAAGAGGAAGTCCTGGATGCGGGAGTTGGCTGTTCCACTCGGCATCACTGTGAACACAGTAAGGCTGTGCACTCAGCACTTACAAAGTACATTCAGGGAATAACCTATTAATTGTGAATTATAAAGACATAGGTCCTATAGGTAGTTGTCATGATCCGGGAAAGGAGGGACCTGGTGCATAAAAAGAGATGGCAGAGCCTGTGGGTTGCCGATGAGAGGGATATTGGCTCAGAAGCAGCAGTTCCCAAGGACATTAGGTGGCATGCTATGGAGAATGACTCTAGAAGAGGAAGGGTCCCCTGTGTTCTGGAAAACAAGAGACAGAAAGCAGGGAACCCAGCCAGGACACCGGATATTTGCAAAACAAGCAAATCAATGAAGCAGGAAGGGGTTTGTATAAAGAAGTTCTTAATCATTTCCTTTACTACAGACTCTTTGCAGAGTCTAATCTAAATTACAGGCCCCACCCAAAATGCACATTATCAAATAAGCAAAAAATTCTAGATAATTATAGATACATCCAACAAGTAGCTAGATGCTGTGGCTTTGCCTGCTAAATGACGATGGTAATGGACTACTCTAATCTTCTATGTTAAGTCAGTCGCTGGGTTTTACATACTTTAACTGGGCAGAAGTTTCTGACATTAGTGATATAGCTGTAGCAAAGACAGTGGTGGCCGTGGTCAGGCTGTGACAAGGGATACATCTTACTACTTTCAGTACCATGTTTGTTTTGAGACAGTCTTACTACACAGTCCAGGCTGGCCTTGAGCTTATTATTCCCCTACTTCAGCCCATCCAGTGTTTAGAATACAGGTAACCACACCACGTCTGTTTTATAAACTGATAAAAAATGACACAAGCAGTCCAGAGTATACACTGTCACCCCTTACTCAGTAAAGAACAGTGTAGTAACAATGCTGCCACACTCACAGCGGTCCTCTTACAGTGCTACCAGTAAAGCTACTAAAATCATGCCAGAAATAGAATAAATGCATAGGTTCTACCATTGAACCATATCCCTAGTTCTACAATACACATTTCTAAAAAATCAAACTCTGTAATTCTATTTTAGCACCTGACAGTATAAACATTTACATTTGGTAATTAGGAAAAGGTGACACAGATTAAAATTTTCATATAGAGCACACCACTTATAGTTAAAATTTCTGCTTACTAAAAGGCAATGAAAATTTCTCAAGAACCTAAATGGGTAACAAGATAAAGTGCAGGAGCCTAAAACTGGAAACAATCCTGAACAATACACCGATGGTCATTTCCTTCCTTCTTTCCTTCACCACAGAAGCCTGGAGCAGACTTCCATGCCCCTGCCAAGCTACAAACAGTGCTGTCTGTGCCCAGGGCGGGCACCAGGCGAATGAGACTCTCAGCTACTGTGGCATGCGCCCCACAACAGGCAGATAAGAGGGAGTTAGTTTTGAGAAATCTGCTCCCTCAGAGGCTTGACGGTTACCTGTAACTTATGGAGAGCAAGAACAAGCACCACAAACTTCTGAACACATTTAAAATATTCAGTACTGGGGAAACCCAGAACTTAAGCGAACTATTTTAAGTGAGTTTGTGCCTCTGCCTCCTCCCCTCCCCATCCAATGCACACTCTGTCAGGCTGATACAGCAGCCTGATAAGGAAAAGGACCTGAAGATGAAATGAGAACTTGAGTCAAGAACAAACCTGTGCTGTTGGAAAAACCCACGTAGCAGGGCCTGGCCATGCCCATGACTAACAGAAAGGACCAAGCAAACTCCACTCAGGAGTTTACAATTAGGCCTTAGAAGATGCAGTAGCCACTAACCAGAGTGAAGAGGTTGGTAGTAGGGATAGATATGGAAGCAAAAACAGAGAGAAGAGAAAATACCCGTGTCCTTATGATAATGGTGAGTGGGGTCGGGAACACCGGGTCATTAGGGGCTGGCAGAAGCACAAGTCACTACAGCTGCACTGGTTTTGGCCAGAACACATACAAATACTTATGATCTCCAGTTTATATATATGATTTTGCATACATAACATACAAAATTTATACACATAATTTTAAGTGAAGCCTGGATCCATAATTATCTTACAGAAATATGTCTAATTCTTAAAGGGAGTCTTGCCTTGTACAAGTCTAAGGATGTGTTCAAGACAACAGAAGAAGACAGAGAAATGAATAAAGAAAAATCAAGTGTAAACAGCTCACCCCTCAAGATACTGATCATTGCGACGAGAGATTTTATGTACTGAGTTCATAGGTGTTTTGGATGAGACTAACCCTGAAGTTGGTGAACCTGGGGGTCACTGACTGCCATAGGCAGGTGGCCTCATCCAGTCGAGTGAAGGCTGGCATAAGAAGGAAAGCGGAATTCTCTAGTACGCTGACGCTATGTGTCACACACAGGTGCTCCTGGGTCTTGGGATTGCGGGTCCACACTGCAGTTTAGCCTTGCTATCTTCCAGCCTTATGCGAGCCAGCTCCCAATGGGAAATCTCTCTGCATCCATGCATGCATACACCCTAGCAGCTCTGCTTTTCTGGAGTCGTGACAGACAGAGCATCGGTAACCTTGACTCAGATGTTTCTGTCTCTGTGTGTGTGTGTGGTTTTTTTTGTTTTGTTTTTTTTGTTTGTTTGTTTGTTTGTTTTGGTTTTACGAGACAGGGTTTCTCTGTATTGTTTTGGAGGCTGTCGGTCCAGCCTGGCCTCGAACTCACAGAGATCCGCCTGCCTCTGCCTCCCGAGTGCTGGGATAAGAGGCGTGTGCCAACATCGCCCGGCTTCTGTGTGTGTTTTTTTCTGTTGCTGTTTGAGATGAGGTCTTGATCTATAGCTCTGCCTAGCCTTACACTTATTACACAATGGTAGCTGGCCTTTAACTCTCAGCAATCCTCCTGCCTCAGTTTCCCAAATGCTAGGATCACAGGTTCCTTCTCTATGCTTGTCTCCTATGCTGTGATATACTTTTTCTAACCATGATTTTAATGGCTACATGGGATTATAGAGGATGGATGTTTCATCATTTATCTAGCTAACAAACTGTGTCTCTAATTCTACCATGTGATTCAGCTGACATTTAGGGCTTGTGTCTGAGCCTTTGATATGAAAACAGTACCTACTTATACCTTAATTTATATAGGAATCTTGTCTTTATTGTTTCACTGGAATGATTCTAGACAGAGAATTTCTGGATGAGGGTATGAAACACTTGGCAGCTCTAATGTGCAGAAAGAAATGAGAGTGCACAGTGTGTGTGTGTGTGTGAGGAGAGTGCACAGTGTGTGTGTGAGGAGAGTGCACAGTATGTGTGTGAGGAGAGTGCACAGTGTGTGTGTGTGAGGTGTGGTGAGGAGAGTGCACAGTGTGTGTGTGAGGAGAGTGCACAGTGTGTGTGTGAGGAGAGTGCAGTGTGTGTGTGTGTGTGTGTGTGAGGAGAGTGCACAGTGTGTGGTGAGGAGAGTGCAGTGTGTGTTTGTGTGTGTGTGAGGAGAGTGCACAGTGTGTGTGTGTGTGTGAGGAGAGTGCACAGTGTGTGTGTGTGTGAGGAGAGTGCAGTGTGTGTGTGTGTGGTGAGGAGAGTGCACAGTGTGTGTGTGTGTGTGTGTGTGTGTGTGTGTGTGTGTGTGTGGAGAGTGCAGTGTGTGAGTGTGTGTGAGCGGAGTGCACGGTGAGGCTCACATACCTTAGTTTTCCTAATGTAAGCAATGATGCACCCGTGTATGAGTCAATGTCTTGTAAACGTGGGCATCTGACTAGACAGAGAGGGAGATGGTTACCAATCCCGCAAAGGAAGCCCTAATGTGCTGGTGTCTCCACCCACCTATGTACTTCACTTCCACGTCGGCCAGCACCTGCAGACAGTTCTCGTAAGTTACTTCTTTCAGGTTGATGGTCCCCACAGCATCATATACCCGCTTGGTCTGTGTGATGAGCTCTTCCGTCCTTGTCTTGATCTGCTCTGGAGAAAGGTCCCATCTTAGAACGTTCCTGCCAGCGGCAGTGTAGGAAGATGCAGCCTGGACGGGAGACGCCACCTCTCTTCCCAGCGTCATTCTTAGCAGAATCCTAGAACCACCAGCTCTAAAAAGAATTGGAAAAAAGAACAGAAATCAAGAACTCTGTTGTGCAGATGGCAGAGTCTCAGTGGGAGACAACTAGGGGAATGCAGTCATGGCCAGAGCTGAGAACTGGGAACGCTGGAGTGTGACACTGAAGGAGGAGAATGAGCCTAGGCAGCTCTCTACAGATGTGGCTCAGGAAGCAAGACCCGAGCACAGAAGAGGACAGGTGAGACCCTGGCACTGACCTCGCTTCTCTCACAGTATTTCCCATGTGAAGCTGGCCGAGACTCACTCAAGGCAGACACTGTATTTTCTGGTATATATTCATGTTTCCTTGTCTGTTGTTTTTTTGTTGTTGTTTGTTTTGTTTTTGTTATTTGAGACAGGGTTTCTCTATGTAGCCCTAGCTGTCCTAGAACTAGTTCTCTAGACCAGGCTGGTCTTGAACTCACAGAGATCTGCCTGCCTCTGCCTCCCTGGATCTAAAGTGTGTGCCACCACTGCTGGGCTACATTCCTTCTGTTATCAGAATAATAAGATTAAGACTGTTCCAAACCTGCTCATATTTAGTAAGGTATAATTTACATATTTATCTAATTAAATGTATGGAAATAAAGAATCTGGTCCCCCCCTCTGGAGATAAAATGTTTAAAATTTTTTAAAAAGCCAGTTAATGAAACACCAATAACAAAAACTGGCTAATGTAAAAAACTGTGTAAAATAATATAAAAATTTAGAAGGCCTCTGAATTCATATTACTTAGTATGTCTTTAAATTCTCATTCCTTAAAAAAAAAAAAGCAAAAACAAACAAACAAAAAACCTAACAGGGGAAATCAAAGATGCATCTATGGCTCCTGCAGAGGATCCAAGTTGGTTTCTCAACACCCAAGGGCAGATCATGACTGCTTGTGACTCCATCTCTGGGGATCTGATGCCCTCTTTTGGATCCAGTGGGCATGCACTCAGGTGCACAACCCCCTCACCCCAGACTCATGGATGTACATGTCTACTTAAAAAAGCAAACAAACAATTAATCTGAAAAAGATGTGATTTATGGTATATATGCAAAGGGAAGAATGAGAAATAACAATTCAAGTCCTTACAGACCTAAAAGACCTTGTCCCAGAAGAAAAAAGGCACTGATGTTTCAAAAAGAAATCTTTTGATGGTTGTACTTGGAATCAATGTGTAGCCATTAAAAAATATACATAACAGAAGGTCCCTATAGCTTCAGGAAGGAATGGGATATAAAAGATGGGTAGGGCAGTTTTAGAGAAAAGAAACTCCAGTCTTGGTGCAGGTGAAAAGGTAGCAGTGACGTGAGAGTAAAAATATGAGACATTTGACTTTACGAATTCAGTGGTGCTGGGAGTGGTGGCGCGTGCCTTTAATCCCAGCACTTGGAGGCAGAGGCAGGTGGATCTCTGTAAGTTCAAGGCCAACCTGGTCTACAAACTGATTTCCAGAACAGCCAGGACCACTGTTATAAAGAAACCCGGTCTTGAAAAACAAAACAAAAGATTCAATGGCTGGGGCGGAAGAGCTGGATCATCAGTTAAGAGCACTTCCTGCTCTTCCCTAAGAGAAAAATGAACTCAAAAGCAAAGCAGTAGAAGCCGCAGGGAATTTCCCTGAAATATTTGGCTCATGAAAGTAAGCTGCAGAGTAGAAATGACTGAGTCCAGTTTGCACAGACTGTGTGAACACTGGAGTCAGAAGCTTGCTGGCTGGATCCAGGAGTAGAAGACAACCAAAACCCAGTCTTTAAAAACAGAGAGGATGGGGTAAACCACCTCATTGGAAGAGGACAGCAAACACAGGCCACAGAATGGTAAAGTCAGATTGGGAACCTCAAAGGGCTTCTTTGTCTCTGGGGATCAACCCAAGGGTGTGTGTGTGTGTGTGTGTGTGTGTGTGTGTGTGTGTGTGTGTGTGTGTGTGTGTGTGTGTGTGTGTGGTGGAAATGTTGGTCTAGAGTGGTACTGCAGGCCAGTTTGGCAACTGGGGAGGAGCATGGGCAGCTATGCTTTCCTTATTTGTAGTGTAGGGTGTGGGAATGGGAAAGATAAAGGGGAAATATTTTCTTCATGGTCAGGTGGATTTTAGTAAAGGCCAGGAAAGAAAGGAACAGCTGCATCCGACTATGGCAATTTGGGTTTTAGTTTTCATGGGAAACACCAATGGTGACGTCAAAACTGCAGGTGTTGTCAGACAAGCATGGGCTTCTTGCCATTCTCTTGACCCTACCTACACACACCTTTTCCCTTCTTTTCTTATAGTGCTATATGATTTGTAGACACCCTGAAAACTGACCTAAGTTCTTTGAAATACTTGGCAAATATTTCCTCCCAAGACACCCAGCCCCCATAGTCCAAGTAGGTTAAAGTGACTGCTTCTATCCCTAGACTGCGCACGTGGACTATGAGAGGAAGGGTTCCGTTCTCACCCTGACGCTGAGAAAGCCTGTGCCCCCTGATTTACGAAGAAATAAGTACTGTGAGTGAGGAAGGGAAGAAACTAAATGTTTAATGATATCACTGAGCTCCTAGACCAACTGACTCCGAAGCCTGACCCAGGGTCAGACTTTCCAGTTGTGCGAGTCAATAGATCCACCCTATCCTTAAGACATTTTAAGTCTAGCTTTAGATTTTTGGGCTTCATAGAGAATCTCAACTGGTAAAGGAAGAAAAAACTAAAGGAGGAGGAAGAGAGGAGAAGTAGTAGTAGTAATGTAGCAGTAATAGTACAGTGTAGTAGTGGGATAGTAGTGTAGGGTATGGTAGTGGTAGTACAGTAGCCGTAGGACAGCAGTGGTTTAGTAGTAGTAGCAGTGGTAGTAGTAGTCATAGTACTATAGAGGTCAGGTGTAAGAAGTGAAGGAATGGATGAGAGGGTTTTACATCCTTGATGTTGGACCCATGTATGAATTTCACTGTGGGCTCTAACTTTCTAACATAATTATTCCTGCAACCACTCATGGATACAGTGAGCAGAGGACACTGAGAAAGAGTCAGCTGTGACCACAACTACTGCTTCCACCAAGATCCTTGTACAGCTGAAAAGGCTAGCCTATGGGTAGCTGGAACAGGGATAGCAAATGGGACAGTACTGTCTGAAATAAAAGATTTCTGCTCTATCACTATTCTTAGAACAAATTTTCATTATTGTTTTAAAATACAATGACATCAGAATTTCCCTGTCAACCTTCCCTGGTTTTCACTTACTTCCAAATGCTTATCAAAAGGCTGCTGTTTGATTGTATCATATCTGCCCGTAACTCCCTTAAACTGAGAATGATGGTGCTTCTATCCGGCCAAAGGGAGATAAGTTTGCACGGTCTCCACTACAATTCATGAAAGCTATCTGCTCTTTAACATAATGATATTCCCTGAATTCTGGGGGACCAGAAAGGAGAAATCATGATGCAGCAGCCAACAGGACATACTAAGCATTTTATCTTAATATTCCTTTAAAATATTTATTTATTTATTTATTTATTCATTTAGTGCATGTGTTCGGACACCTGATGGCCAAGGCACACACGTGGAAGTCAGAGGACAACTTTCCAGAGTCAGTCTTTGCCTCCCACCTTGTGGAGGTCTCTCTTGATGGTTCTGTTGCTACAAATCTGCACTCCAGGCTGGCCAGCCTGCAGCTCCTGGTGAAGTGTCCCCACTCTGTCCCATCCCTCCACAGAAGTACACTCCTGCATCAGACTTTTACATGGGTTCTGGGGACTTGCCCACAGAATCCTTTCCTAACCTTGGACTTTATCTTAGTATCTGAGGATTTATAGTTCTTGTCACCACAGGAAGGTGACAGAGATGGGTGGTTTCCTAACCCTCCACACGTTTGCCCTGAGCATTTTCTGATTGGATTATCTCTGCTTTTCCTCTCCTGCCTTCACTTTGCTATCCCTCGTCTTTCCCTATGGTGCATTTTCAAGTTCCTTCAACATTTCAGGGTGCCAGTATGCCGCCCATTTCCTTTGCCCGTCAGCACCGGTGCAGCCTCTGAGAGCTGCTGCTGGGTGGGAAACAGCACACCTTTCCTTTTGACCTTTGCCCCTAGACCTGTAAAAGCTGAAAGCAGGAGGCTCAGCATGAGCCCATATTGCTTCATGGCAGTTGCTGAGGACATTATCTGAAAACCACAATCTAGACAAGTCAGAAACCGTATTGTCTTGTCTTCTGTAGAATCCAGGAGGCCCTTTATCACTTCTCTCCCTCTCCACTGTCTCCTTTTCTTCACAGAAATTTTAAAAACTGTATGAGACTTCTAACCGGTGCAGCAGAACTGACAGGAAGGCACATGTGTGAGGGCTAGGATCTCCAGTGTCCACAAAACCAAGGAAGAGTTCAGGCAAAGGGGGAAGACAGACTGGACAGGTCACACAGCTTTGCTGGGACACATGAACACAGCACAGTTATTCCGAGTTAATGTTGTAGGACTTTGTGGACTGTACTTTGAGAAACGTCCTGCCCCACTGGAGTCACCCACCACTTCCTCCTGCCAAGGCTTCTTTGGCTACCGTACTTCCCCAAGTCTCAGCTTCTGTCACTGCATCTGAGCCATTCACTTCAGACATGATCATCACACTGCTCAGTCACTGTGCAGTTGTCTTGTCCTAGAAACCAGGCTGGGGTTTCCTCAAACATCTCACTACTCCACATTTTCCCTAACAAATCCCCGCCTCACAGAGTGCACATGGGAAACAGCCAGCACTGATAAAGCCAAGAGACAACAGCAACCTCATATCTTCCTTCATCGTCACAATGAAAACAGTTATACAAGAAAATGTTTTTCCTGGAGCCAGGGTCACATCAAAGGCCCATGTAAAATGCTACAATTCCTACATCCCTACGATATTCGTTTCCCCAAAGAGTTCCTGGACTGCAATACATGGCATGTACTACATACATACCTTCCTGGAAATGGACCCCATTCTTTGAAATACTTGGAAAATATTTCTAGTTTAGCTAAGCCAAATGTTTCTCTGTAGACTCGGGCTGAGGTC